TTTTGGTTTTTCGAGACAGGGTTTCTCTGTGTAGCTTTGTGCCTTTCCTGGAACTCACTTGGTAGCCCAGGCTGGCCTCGAACTCACAGAGATCCGCCTGTATAGAACTCATCTTTATGGAAGATGTCACACATACATTACAAAGAGTTTCAATGTAGTTATGTCTTAAGCTTTGTTGTATACATGAGATTGAGTTAATTATCAACAGGAAACTTTTCAGCAAATTGTGCTGTGCTTAAATATGCCTAAAGTAAACTACCTGGAGTAGGACTCTTTTAGTTTGAACCAATACCAGCTACTTAGTTGTGTTGAACTGAAGAACTGAACTACCTTATTCCCCCTCCCCCACTGCAGATTGTTACTCTGCTGGCCATGATGTTATCAGAAGCCCTTGAGACTTTCATGCATGCATGCACTTTATTTTGATAATAGACACCCTCATTCCTGCCTGAAGCTAGTCCCCATATTCAATATTCAATATATTTACTGGATAGTGAGTGTGTGTGTGTGTGTGTGTGTGTGTGTGTGTATGTATGATAGATAGATAGATAGATAGATAGATAGATAGATAGATAGATAGATAGATGATAGATAGATGGATGGATGGATAGATAGATAGATGATGGATGGATGGATAGATAGATAGATAGATAGATAGATAGATGTTGTGTGTGTGTGTGTGTGTGTGTGTGTGTGTGTGTGTGTGTGTGTGTTAATATATATCCCACTGAGTACAATTTTTGCTGCCCATATAGTTATAGATATGGGACCATCCACTGAAGCATGGTCTACCACAAGTAGCCACATTTTTAAGAAAACCGACAGTCCTTCCCCTAGCACCCATCAATAGTCAATAGCTCCTCATCTTACATCTTCAAACATAAACATAAAAGAGAGAGTGAACTGAAGGTGGAAAGAGGCTTTAAACTCTCAAAGCCTTCTTCCAGTCAAGTACTTCCTTCAGCAAGGCTGCACTTCCTTGTCACTTCTCCAAACAGCTCCACCAAATGGAGACCAAATATTCAAACATCTGAGTCTATGAGTAAAACTTCTCATTCACATTACCACGAGGACTAACAGAATAGACACAGAATCCCTAGTAAAGCTGCTGACTTCTAAGATGGAGAATAGAAGGTCACACACACACACACACGAGAGAGAGAGAGAGAGAGAGAGAGAGAGAGAGAGAGAGAGAAAGAATTCTGTCTTCACACTTAGACTTTATTTTTAATTAGGAGAAACTGTTAGCATGAATGAATTTGAAGCACAAGTATCCAGATCTGTTATGTACTTCCTAGCATGTTCTTCATTTTTAAAGTGTCAATCACACGTCTTTTAGCTGATTGTTGCCCCTTCAAAGTCTCAGGATACTTCCATCTCCTTCACTTGCCACACTCCACAAATCTCACTTAAGCTGGAGAGCAAAGGTAGCATCTCCTCTATTCCATTTTAGTAAGTTCACAGTCATAACCTTGTGAAGATGAGCCCATTTCTAACCTAGACTCTATCCTGGAGCTATGTCCTTAGCCAGGCTGGGCTGGTTTCTAATGTGTCAATTATAATATTAAGACTTACAGCTTATAGTCAAATAAAAAAGATGGATTAAATAACCTTTCATCTATAGATATATGGTAGATACATTTTTAAAAAAAACAAGGTAATATAAGAGTAAGCCAGAAAGGTTATTTCCTTTAATTCCATGAAGATTAGTTAAAAGATTAAGTATATAAATTATAAAATAAAAGAAAGTATAGAGTAGTAATGATATCTTTATTTATTTGCATTTACTTTGTGATGTGTAGGGGTTGAATACAGGCACCTGAACATGCTAGCCAAGCATTCTACCAATGAGCAACATCCCCAATCCCTTTCTTTCATTTATTTATAGCATCTAACTAAAATGCCCAGGTTGGCCTTTGAACTGTCTTCTCTATTTGACTCAGGCCTCATAACCTCCCTGTATCCATCTCCTGCATAGTTGGGATCACATACCTATATCTTAGGCCTGGTCTTTCTTAAATACGAAGGGTGTACTCCCCACTCCCATGTATTATTTCATCTTTGCCAATCTGGTAGAAATGAATACTTCTGTGTTAGATATTTTTCTAAGAGACACTCATGAATAACATCATTTCATCACCTCAACACCATTTCAGGTTCAACATCCCAAACCAGAAATAAAAAATGCCAACATGATACCACAAGTGGGAAAGTTGACTCCTGACCTTGAGTGATTGAGCGCATTCAGAATAAAAGATATTGTATAAAATTACCTTCAGACTGTGTTATAGTGCTATGTATATGGTACATAAAATTAAATTTTCTGGTGAAATATGGATCTCATCTCCAGGACATCTCATCATGTGTGTATACTCTAAAATTGTCAAAAATTCAAAAGTACATTAGTCCCAAGCATTTAGGTAAGGAATCCTCAGGCTTTAATGGATAGTTGACAGTGGGCAGGTTTAGAGACATTTAGAAAATTGCCTGCAGTTGTATAGCTGCTAAGTGGCTGAAATGAAGATACCTAAACCCAGGTACCAAGGTCTCTGAGTACATACTTTCCATCACCTGGTGGGACCACTCCCTCTGCTGGTTTTAAATCATGTTTGCTTGACGACTAGTGAGGTTGCATAACTCTGTGTCTAAAATTCCATTTCCTAATACCTTGAAGAAGATGTGACTAATACAGCCAAGTGAGGGAGGAAAGAGGACTTGACTTTAGCCTTCCTACACTTCAATTGAGTCTTAATCATTGCTAATCATAATCACGAAGAAATTTCTCTCTAGAGGATAATAATATGAATACTCTTAAGATTGCAGTAAAGACCAAATGTGAAGGATAGTGTGAGTACCTGGCACATGCACACATGATGACACATGCCACTTTAGCTGTAAGGAGAGCTTCAAAACAAGAGACTGAGAGGCTGAATCAACAAGATTTTGTTTGAGCCAGAAAATAGAAAGCAAAACACAAACAACAAACTTCCCTTCATTTTCTGTGCCTATTATACTATGGATGGTGTTAAGGAACGTTAATATCTACTCGACTGCCACCTGATTGAGAATGCTAGTTCTGGGCATCTACCAGAAAAGACATTGTTTCATCAATTCATTCAGTATTAATGGAGTTGAATATTGTGTCATGTAGAATGTGAGGCTCTGATACTACATTTATGCTGTTGTTAACCCATGACCTTTATTCTCATCACAAACTCTTGGTATATGTTTACCAATAATAGTAACAATATTTTCATAAGCACAGTTTAATACATCAGAACCATTGGTGGGTTTTTGCAATCACTAAGGACACATGTGTGATGCTCAGAGATCTCTTGTTTTTCTTATTCCTCAGGGCTCATCAACATTCCTGCAGTGGCCCTTGGAATATTCTCTGGGGGAATAGTTATGAAAAAATTCAGGCTGGGTGTATTTGAAGCTACAAAACTCTACTTGGGATCATCTGTCTTTGGCTACCTCCTCTTCCTCTCTCTGTTTGCCTTGGGATGTGAAAATCCTCGTGTGGCTGGACTGACTGTGTCCTACCAAGGGTATGTTCCCTCGCAACATCATTTGAGGAGATGGGATAGCTTAATTCAATTGTCAGTAGAGTTTTCTAATAAGATTAATTAATATTTTAAGGCTCATAACTTATAGAAAGTAACTTTTTAATGGAATAGCTGATACTACTTAAAGCTTAGAATCTGTTATTGTCTCCCAATTTTGTATTTTCTCCCAAATTTGAATTTGAATGTCTTATAGAAGTATAAAAATTGCTAAATCTTATGTTATAAAATTAACCTAACAAATGAAACAATGCAATCAAGGGAATACAGAACTCGAATTCTTAGTAAAGTGATTATTTATGGGTTGAATCAATTTGGCTATAATGTTCTTGTTTTAAAAATAGAGTAACAACTGTCTTTTAAGATTGTGAAAGTCTTAAGTAATGTCATATACATGGTAGTGACTAGCACTTGCCTGCCATAAAATAGCTGCAAGCAGTTGCCTTTTCTCCCCTCTGGACTCCTAATTAAGTGGGTTGGTCTTTAGACCATCCCTCCTAGTCTCCACTGTGCTAAAAACACAGCAAAGTTCAGCAGAAAAAGTTATCTAATGGCAGCTATCTTTACCTGTCCATCTTGCACTGAGTCTGAAGAACATGAATAACTTATATTTCCTGTTTTTACCCTCATTCTTATGCCATCCCGTATGCGGGAGGTGATTTAATTGTGTTGTTTCTAGCTTTTTTCTTAATGCAAGGCTGAATCTTCCAAGACCTATTTCACTATCCCATTTAAGAGTCCTTCTTATCACTCCACCAGAGGGAGTGTCTGCATCCTTTCAATTATTTTATACTGTTCATCTACAGATGTTATTGAACCTCTACCATGGACCAGAGAGGATTTAGATTAAATCTACCAGACTGCTTGAAGCCCTACAGAGGCAGAAAGGCAGGCTCTCCAGGTCTTGTATTCACTAGTTTCTTGTTTTCAATGCCTGTGATCAAATACCTAACAAGAAGCAGTTTGAGAAAGGTAGTGTTTATTTGGGCTTACAGTTTGAAGGGACATATACAGCCCATCATAGAGGGGAAGGAATAGCAGCAGGTGGCCCCATGCCTTTGTGAGTGCATAGGAACTGCTTGCTCCCATCTCATCAGACCAGGAGACAGAGTTGAGACAGGAAGGAACGTTGTGTTACAAACCTCAAGGCCTTCTGACCCAGTGACCTACAGATGTCACCTCCCAAAGCTTCCACAGCCTCCCCAAACACCACCACCTAGTGGTAGAGTCAAGTATTCAAGCACATAGTCTTATAGAGGATATTTTTAATCCTCTACATTTTTATCTCTCCTCTTGCTCTTTCTGATCATCTGCCTTGTCTCTACATTCTAGCCTCCATTTTCTTCACCAACATGACGTCTTCTGCTTGCAACTAAGCACACACTATAATTTCTCCTGTTTAAAATGGAAACAGTGAATGCAAAGTTAAATAGAAATGTATTCCTAGCAGGATTATGAGGCTGAGGAGTCCGCTGGGGTCAGAAATGGACAATAAGAGTGTTAATGGTAACTATGAATTGCTAGAAGACTCTGCAGAGAGTAGAAGCCTTGTGCTGTCTTTGGCTGTACCTTTTATATTCATTATAGACCAGAATGGTGGAATAGTTTGTAGTTTTCAATTTAGAAAGCATCATGAGTTTCATTTTCTAATGCATATCCTCTACACTCTAATGCAAGTTAGTTTTGCTAAACTTCTTTGAAGGAAAGTGAGTTTTAAAAAGTCAATTTGCTTCCCAAACTTAATGTCTATCAAAGGCAGATCTTGACCTTGCACACAGGCTTGACTCAAAGTATACCGTTCTTTCTGCATTATGCTGTTTCTAAGGCAAAGTGAATACATAGACAACAACTGCAAACTTTTGAGGTTCATATTATGAATGCTTTATGATAAAAGATAAAATATTTTAAAGAAATAAAAGATAATATAACCATTGAGTACTAGCCTCTTCAGCAGAGTCACCTTGAGAGACTGTAGCTGAATTGCAGTCAATGCTGGCATTGTTTGGTGCATTCTGAAACTCCTCTTTCAGAATTGCTTTCCATACTCTTAAAACATCCCCCACAAGTGACAAAGATTTAACCTTCGAGCATGGCTGTGCCAGTGGTAGCAATCGAAGAAGGGCAGCACCACTAGGAAAGCACCACACTTCTCAGCACAGCTCTCTGAAAGAAGTCTCATTGGGGAATAAACACTCAAATGTGTTTGTTGGAACTCTTCTTATAATTAAAAATTTAAGCCACAACCCTACTGTCAAACACATCCTTCATATAGATGTGTTTGCAATTAAAGTCTGCCCTAGATGGCAAAGTAAACATATTCCCCGGTAATGTAAAATAATTAACTTTAATGCAAAATGCTTCCCCTGAGATTTTCTTGTGTTGCTTTGTTTGAAAGGTTATTTTGATTGTAGACACCCAAGAGGTTCTTTATTGACAAGCTTGAGCTGACAGCTGAGGGAATATCTGTTTTTTAGTAAGGAGAATAATGCTGATATGAGAACAAGAATTTAGATGCAACAGGCCTGGAAGGGTCCACTCCTAGGTTTGTGACTAACAAACAATTTGAGTTTGAGCAAGTGCCCAGTCTAACCTGACCTTCCTGATATGCATGTGAGTGGGTGGCCTCCATCACATCAAGGTTCACTGGAGGTCCAATCATCTGTGACCTTGACCTCAAAGGGCCTATAGGGACAGATGCTGGTCTTTCAAAGACATTATTGTCATTACAACTTCAGATGAAACCATTCATCTCAGCCAGCAATTAACACTTCATGGAAGAGAAGATTAAATGGTCCCAGAGGACTTTGCAGAGACCCAGTTAAATGCCCTTTTGTTCTGTTTGTTCCTTTGAGATGGCCCAATCCACAGCAACCTGAGTAGATGGACTGTTACCCCAACTAAGAAATTACTGCTGTAATCATATAGGTTAGATACACATTAGAAGCAAGGGCCCAAAGCACTGCTTCTTTCTCTAAATACCACCTTTTTGATGAATGTGATTTCAATAATAACATGTTTTAAATACTAATACTAGAGAGGCTGAATCAGGTGGTCTGAGAGTTCAAGCCACACCCAAGCTTGACCACACTGTATAGCAGGACCTAGACTCAAATGGAAAGACATTTTTTTCCTTTGATGATTCAGGTCCCATAAGCCATGTTTCTAACTCTGCTATGTGCTAAGAGTTATATTTACACTAGCATCATAGGAATAAATAAACAAACTGATCTGGCCTCCACTGAGTGTACATTTCAAAATATTGTTTATTCATTTAAGTCTCTAAAATACCTCCATAAAAAAATTCTTCACGGTGAGAGAGATCAACACAAAAGAAAATGAAATAAGGGAGGAAACTGAATTATGAAAGGTCTATGGGCATTACACATAACATGAAGCCAAAATAACACACCAATGGGTGAGTGCCTTATAGAGAGACTAGAGAAAGAGAAAAAAAGTTCAAGAAAACCAACACTTGGAAGATAAGTATTATTCATTAATATTTAGAAACATCTTCCATCCTCCCAAAATTAGTACTTCAGAGTGTTCCAATAAATTTTTGTGGCTAAATGAGTTGTAAATTTGTTGAATAACAGGGGACTCTGTAAGCAAAGATGATGAAGGATGCCGCTGACCTCTGTACATGGGAGAATTGTAGCTGCAAGTTTTCATGTGTTCTGCCCAGTCCACAGCCGCTCAGACCCAAGTAAACACACAGAGGCTTATATTAATTAAAACTGCCTGGCTGTTAGCTCAGGCCTACCACTGACTAGCTCTTACATTTAAACTCAGCCCATTTTTGTTAATCTATATGTTGCCATGTTTTCCATGGCTTTACCTGTGTGCCATTGTGTGCTGCTCCCTGGATGGTGGCCTAGTGTCTCCTGACTCAGCCTTCCTCTTCCCAGAATTCTCCTTGTCTACTTATCCCACCTATCTTCATGCCTGGCTACTGGTCAATCAGCATATTATTAAACCAATGTACAAAAGCATTATCCCACAGCATTTCCCCCTTTCTGTTTAATTAAAAGAGGAAAGTTTAAACTTTAATATAGTAAAATTATATATAACAAAACAGTTATCAAGAAAGAATTACAGTTACAATATCTAGTCTATTTGTATTTGGCAAATTCAAAGAAAATATTCTATTTATCCTATATTTGTGAGTCTAAGGTTTTATATCTAACTTATCTTTTATGATAACTAAGGAAAATTATGACTATATAGTCTTCAACTACATCAAAGACCTCAGAAGGATATAATATTGTCTAAGTAAATAGGAAATGCATTTTAAGCAACTTCCAAAAATCTAGAATGACAGAGATACCTGGCTGCTTGGACAGTTACCCAAAGTTCTTCTGCAATGTTGGGGCATCCATTTTTCAGCCTACTGGCCTAGAGTCTCTCAGTTGCTTCTCTCTGTGTCCTGTAGAATGTTTGGCAGTTTCTTCTGTGAAACAGGAACCTGAAGGACCATCTTGTCTTGCAATGCTCAGTGGTTACCTTCCTATGGGTCCTGAATGTCCTTACAACATTTTGTCAAGCAGTCTAGGCAAGAACAGTTTCTTGCCCAAATGACTATTTTGCCAAGAAGAAGATAAACTCCATATGGAGTGTCTTCAACCCCCATCTTTCTCTCTGAAGCAAATCAGTGCTGCCAGGAGCAAACGTGTCTCATTGTCCAGAAAGTCTAAGTTTTTAAAACATTTTAAATGCCATATTTTGTAGGTCTTTGAAATGTTTGAAGATAACCTACCTAATTGAATTATATCTATGTATACCTAGAAAACTTAACATGACTCTAAGTTTGACTATCATAGAAACCTAGTTATTAATCTCTATTTCTTAATTATCCATTACAATTTAAATGAGTTACATAAACATAATACCTCAAACAAGAGTAGAAATATATATACAGTATAACAAAATTAACTTTAAACTTTAAATTTATATCAACACCTAAAATCAATAGCTATGTAAAACATTTTAAACAAGTTGCTTTTTAAAACTAGGTTCAACAATCCATCCTTTTATCCTATCATATCTATATCCTATATTTCCATATCAGAGAATATAGAGACAAAGGATTCATGGGCATTATTTGAAATACATATACAAGGAGGTATATAATCATAATGGATACAAGAAGGGTGTTCACTGTTAGCTGCTTTCATTCATTACTATCAGCAATATCCATCATACTGATGTCCACACAGTTACAAAAGATAGCATGCATAATGTCATAAATATACCTTGAATTTCACTTTTCTGTCTTGTAACCATGGACTGAACCATCTTAGCTCAGAAATTCATTGCAGGACCCAGGAATCAGGAGACTTTAATATAAGACCTTTAAGCTAAGAAGTGGATGTGGCTAGAATGGGCAAACCTTTTAAGACATAGCTTAAGGGAGAGTCAGTTAACAGTTGGCTCATATTTAACACTTAGATGCTAAGATCTTTAACACAATTGTATTTTCAAAAGACAAATAGTTGCCAATATCACAGCATTTATATGACTCAAGAGCAATGACATTTTTAAAATAGGATCTTGCCTACTAAGAGGTAATATTTTATACTCTTACGTTTCTTTTCAGAACCAAACCTGTCTCTTATCATGAACGAGCTCTCTTTTCAGATTGCAACTCAAGATGTAAATGTTCAGAGTCAAAATGGGAGCCCATGTGTGGGGACAATGGGATCACATATGTGTCAGCTTGTCTTGCTGGTTGTCAATCCTCCAGTCAGAGTGGAAAGAACATTGTAAGAAACTTCTCCTACTGTATCTGCCTGTTAACTGGCTACTGTTTAGACCCATGTTGGTCCAATGGGGTTTTGGGAGGTCACCCAGGCAGAATCCCTTGTTCTGACCCAACCCTTGTATTTGTATATAAATAAAGGGAATTTAAAACACTCTTATGGATCTAAAACTGCAAGAATTAAGGAAAGGATTAGTAATGAAACAGGTATAACCACATTCATAATTGTTTAGTCTACATCTCTCATTATATTGTGAAAATTATTAGCCAAGAATAAGAAAGTCCCAAACATATTGCATCACTTTTAAGATCTACTTTAGGATCTGTGTCCCCTGATCTCAAAGTGAGTAGATATAGGAGGTTTTAGGGACAGCACAAATATGGGGGTTAAGAGATCTGTATGTGAAGATATGGATCCAGGAACCCAGAACTGATTCCACGGAAGTTGATATGGTTTTGAAGCAGCTCTGCTTGATCCAAAGTAGATGGTCTGAGCTGCTGAGTTGCTGTAGAGTGGGAATGGAGTCAGAACTACAGGTAGGAAGCTTGCTCAGTCTGTCCAGGTGTTTGAGACAAATGGCTTGAGCTGCAAGCATTTACTCCATAGTTGTAGAAATGAAGTCCAGCTGAAAGAGCCAGTGGGTCCAGTGCGAGATGAGGGCTGACTACCTGGTTTGCAGATGTCCTCAGAGCAGAAGACAGAAAGGAAGGACAAGGTGTCTGTCGTAGTTGGCTTTTTGTCACTCTCACAGTTCCCTGAGAGGAAGCATTTAAAGAAAGGAAAGCGTTTTTCAAGAGTAACTTTTCAGTGTCTTCAGCCATGGACCTTAGGCTTGCTATTTCTGAGCCCATGGTGCTTCAGTTTACCTTGCAGGGGACTGTGTGATGGACCACCATCAACCTCACAGTGAACTGGAAGGGAAAGGGGATCAGAAGGCAGGCTACATCTTTCCAAGGCCCTCCCCAGTGACAGCTTCCTCCAGCTAGCCCCTTCTCCCACTTTGACCACCTCCAATAATACCACCATATTATGAATTTATCAAAGAATTAATCTATTGATTAACTCAGAACCCTCACGATCTAGTCTTTTCCACAAATCCTGTCAACTGGAAACCCAATCCCCAGTACTGTTTAAACTTTAAAGTGTTTTTTTTTTTCTTATATGGACACTAATTCCTGAAAATGTTGTCTCCCTGACCTTCCAAAGGCCTTACTTCCTTAGTTCACTGCACAGGAGCAGTGAGATAAGTAAACTGGGGCTGAGCATTCAGTGCACAACTGAAACTAGCTGTGAAGGACTTGATGCCCTTCAGTCATTAACAGATCCCCCCCCCCCCAATCACATCTTGGCATTTCAGGCCAAATGCTGTCTTCCATAAAAACTGAACAGCACAAATATATTTAAATATAATTATTGGCTAGTTATGAATGCTTAGCCCAACACATTTGAGGACACCCCAGATGATAGTGAGACACAGGAACATATAACAGCAAACAAGATCAGGATTAGAATATATATATATATATATGAATTGTGTCAACTTTATTTCATTCTTTATTTGCAAATTCACTCTTCAGTGATGAAAATGACAACTTGCTGTCTTAGTTAGTATTCCCATTGCTATGGTAAAATACCATGGCTTGGAGAAGAAAGGGTTTATTTCACTTATGCTTCCACATCACAGTCCCTCATCCAAGGAAGTCAGGACAGGAACTCAAGGCAAGAACCTAGAAGCAGGAACTGAAGCAGAGGCCCTAAAGGATGGCTGCTTATTAGCTTGCTCCCTGTGGCTTGCACATTCTCCTTTCTCATACAATGCAGAAACCCCTGCATAAGGGTGAAAATCCACAGTGGACTGGGCCCTCCCATATCAATCACTAATTAAGAAAAGCTTTACAGACTTGCCTATAGCCCAATATTATGAAGGCAATTTCTCAGTTATAGTTTTCTCAGATAACTCTGACTTCTGTCAAGTTGAAAAGAAAAACTAGGACTCTTTTAATGTATGATACAAATATATAATAAATATCATGAGATTCTCATAAATAAACTGCACAGATAACCCATGGTGATAAAAAAATTACATCTTCGTATTCAATATTTAGTTCTCTTTTATGTATAAGGATTATTTTTCCTAAAAGACAAGGTAAATTCTTCCATATCTTCTAATTCTGCTCATTTATTTAATGATTTTTTTCTTAAATACTGAAAATAAGGTCAATTTTAGGCTCTGGATATGTAGTAATGACAATATAGGGTGATCTTGCTTTCATAGAGGTTATATTCTAGTAGAGAGATGAAGCTTAAAGATAAATAGCCATATACATAGTGACAGGGACTGAGTTAGGATACCAGAGCAGACAGATGGGCTGTGGTTTAAAAGGGGAGGTCATGGAAGTTATCTCTAAAGAAATCTCTAAGTAGACAAAGGGAAGCTGAGCAGGCAAGAGGATACTTTCCTGAATGGGGAGTAACAGGACCATGAGATGTGGGTGAATTTGCTGTGTTCAAGCTGGGGAGGGGGTGGTTCTAGAACAAAAGTTCTGTAAATTTGCCATTGTAGGAGCCATTTGTGTAAGCAAAACAGAGGGTAATAGGGGAGATTGTTGACCAATGAGATCAGGGTGAGATCTGGGAGCTACATGATAAGAATGGATAATTCACTACAGTGATTTGGGATTCTTACAAATGTATAATAAATCCTAATTTCAGGGTTGAGGGCAGTGAGAGAATTTGAACATTCACTTGGTTACTATGTGGAAAGCAGATTGTGGTTGGTGAGAGTCGAAGTAGGTTGAGCAGAAAGATAATCATAACAGTAATCAAAGCATGAAATAGCAGTGACAGTCATGTGTAGACTGTAGGTCGCTATTTAAACAGTGAAATACTCTATTAGACTTTACCTTAATATATGTTGATATATTAATATGTTAATATATGTTAGTATAAGCAAAAAGTATTCCTCATTGCTCATGTAATACCTATATACTATACTAAAAGGTTTTTAAAAGAAATATGTAACTTCTGATTTAATTAAATATATCTCAATAATTGGACTTTTCTCTACTGTGTTACAGATATTTTCTAACTGCACTTGTGTCGGACTTGCAGCCCCTAAGTCAGGAAACTGGTCAGGCATGATGGGCAGGTGTCAGAAAGATAATGGATGTCCCCAAATGTTTCTGTATTTCCTTGTGATTTCAGTCATCACGTCATATACGTTATCTCTAGGTGGCATACCTGGGTATATATTACTCCTGAGGTGAGTGCAGAGACTTCTTCACTCCAACTTTTTCATCAAATACAACATATACTCTTCTTTGGGGTCATGATTCTTGATAGCTTTTTGAAACAATTGGCCCCAGCCCCTGATTTCACTGTCAGATGAGCCCACTTCAGGTTTTTATAGCTGAAAAGAGTTTTCTTAGTTCAATATATTTGTAAACCCTTGATCTAGAGCAATGTTAAAACCTACATCATTGAAGTTTTACACTAAACACCATTTGGGGCTTCTGATGTTGGAGTCAGTATTAATAACACAAATAAAATGTACCTTCCATCAAATGTATGTAATAGACAATTGTGAAATACTTCAAAGGTATGTTTAATAACATGGTGTTTTGAACTGGCCATTTTGATCTATAGGCTATTATATTTTACACATTACTGCTAAGACTGGAATTTTCTATGATGGGTGTTATGTTTTTTAATCAATTCTAATCTATGAATATTATGTGAATGACTCAAAACAATTTTATATACAAGACCCTAAAATATGCATTCCTTTGTATATTTATATTTGTATATTAATTAGAATATACATTTTAAAGAATTATTTAAATAAAAGTTAAGCATTGATTTCTAGTAGATCATATATTTTAAAATGTGAGGATTTTAAATTTTTTATCACTCTTTTAAATCAAATTAATGAAATTAAAGAATGATTAGATAATCATGACCAGATTAAAGGTTGTATGAAAAGGTGTTTATGTGTGTGTGATGTGTATACATGTACATGTTTGCATGTGTATAGTGCATACTCGTGTGGGTGTGCACTCTTGAGCAGGGCCTAGATTGATGTTAGCAATCTCCTCAAATGTTCTTTCAGTGCCCTTTTACCTTATTTCTTGAAGCAGCATCTCCTAGTCAGAACTCATGTTAGTCTACTAGCCATCTCGCTCTGATGATTGCCTGCCTTTGCTTTCTCAGTCTGTACTAACAGCCAGATCACCAAGTCCACTCAATATTTATGTGTGTTCTTAGTTTCCGAACTTCAGCCTCCATAGTTGTGTGGCAAGTGCTTTAGCCATTGAGAAATCTCTCAGGCCATATTTTCTAAATGGTGCTTTTCCTATTTTAGGTGCATTCAACCACAACTTAAGTCTTTTGCTCTGGGTATCTACACTTTAGCAATAAGAGTTCTTGGTAAGTATAATCAAAAGGACTTTTTTTTTTCTTCTCTTTCTAAAACATTGTCTGTATGTGTGTGTGTTTATATTGGTTTATTGTCAGGGGCCCCAGAAGTGTCATAGACAATGGGGAAATAATCCATGGAAGGTGAGGAGTGAAACTTGGGTCAGCACTACTTTAGCAGCGTCTGGGTCAAAACTTCCAGCGTCTGACCTCATGGTTTATTTTTCTTACACATTTAAGCACAGTAAAACTTGGAGGGAAAGTCTCCACAATCATCACAACAAAACTTCAGGGACAGCTACATTGAAATCCCCTGGCAAGCTATCAAAGCACCTGTAAACTTAATAAGAATGAGTTCTATTGGCTGATTGGCTGATGAACAGCACTCAGGGTAAGGGCCTAAGAAGGAAGGATCTGTGATAAGCATAAGGATAGACTCTGTTGATGGAGGATTCAATGTACATGGGCCTCTTTCATAAAGAAGGATTGCACTCACTGAGAGACAAAGCTCAAGGTAAGGGCCTAAACTGTGCTCCCAGTTTTGGGGGATTCAGGAAGGCTGGCTCCATAGAATAGCAAAAAGATCACTAGGTTGTTAGACTACATCCACTCAGGTTCTTCCAATGCTTTCTCTGAACTGAGCCTCCTACAGTTTATACTGATGCACAATTTCAAATGAGTATGGACTTCCTGGCTTGTCACTGTTTAAGGACCATAGCTTGCACTCTTCTACAGGTACAAATGTCATCATTTTGTATGACCACAATGCATCATCACAGTCAAGAAATTTGGTACCAATGTGTTATTATATCTTCTATATATTACACAATCGAATTTAATTCACTATAATGATGCCCTTCTACACCCTTCTACACTCTCGTTCCAAAGTGAGTGGAGGGCCATGTACTGCATTTAGCTACCCTTGTCAGCCTCTAATAATCCTTCCTTTTTGTATTTAGGCAAGTCTGTCGTTTTTATGGCTACTCTTCATTTGCATTTACCTGGTTGTTTTTGTAAACAGTCAATAAAATATTTCAGGTGAGAACTATATAGGTGACACTGTGTGTCATTTTGCCCATTCTGTCCTGAAAGCTGACTTTAGGGTAGACCATCACTGGATAATGGCCTCTTGGTGAAAGTTAGGGCCGTAACTGTCTCCACAATAAAGATCATTTGTCAATAATAAGTGATCTGTGAGATGACGTCATTATTTCATTTCTGCCATATGTTTTGCCTGAAGCTGAAATGACTATAATTGATTCTAAATTAAATCAATTATATCATGACTATTTATAAAACTTCAATGGAATTTTAAGCAGGCAATATTTTAAAAGTAATTCCTGTTTGTTATCAAAGGCCTATGTGTCATGATGGTATCATGAATACATTAGGATGGCTTTAGTAAGAGTACACTATTTTGTGTAACTATACACTGTGGTTTGAATATGAAATGTGCTCTCGCGGGTTTCATTTGTTTGAGTGTCAGAAACCAAGCTGGTGTCACCATTTGGAAGGCTGGGGTACCTTTAGGAGGTGAGACCTAGCTGGAGGAGGATATCTCTAATGAAGGGGGCCTTGAGGTTGATAACTTGTCAATTTCTAGCCGGAGTTTTCTATGCTTCTTGCCATAGCTGCTTGCCAAGCATGCCCCTGCTGCATGGACCAAGCCCTTGACATGCTTTCCCCACCATGATTCATTCAAATACCTTGAACTGTTCCTTTGTTAGGTGTAAAAATGTTGGACTCATAAACAACAGCAACAATGGTGCAAAACAGTTGTTAATAGACCATCTGTTTACAATGCATAAAACAGAAATGAAGCTATGAACTCATTTTAATCCTTCCAGAATACTTGTGTTGGAATTTGTTGGTAAGAATTATCTTTTCTCCCTAGGAAGGATTTTGCCCTCAATAATCAGTTACTGAGCAACGATGAACACTATAGCACAAGTAAGAAAGGAACTCCCTGTGCCTGCATAGTTTGTGTTCTGGCAGAGAGCACAATTAAACAAGCTGTTCCAAGAGCATTAAGGGTTTGTGAAAGGGAACAAGTACTGTAGGCTGGTGAGCAGAATTAATACACTTTAGGTCATAGGAACGGCCCTTTCTGAAGGGAATCACTTAAACTGAGACTCAAAGGGTATGTGTGCATTAAGAAGACAGAGGCAGGGAGGAAGGGTGATGGTACAAGTTTTTAATTCCAGTACTTGAGAGGCAGAGGCAGGAGGATCTATGTGAGTTGTAGACCAGCCCGATCTACATAGCGAGTTCTAGGAAAGGCTCCAAAGCTACACAGAGAAACCCTGTCCCACTCGCAAAAAAAGAAGAAGAAGAAAAGGGAGATAAGAAAAGTCAATTTGTTTCAGAGAAAGAAAGCTACTCAAGGCATTAGGCAAGAGGACAGATTATTTTTAAGCATCAAAAGACATTCAATAAAACTGAGATCCAAAATATAAGGCGATGAATATGACCTCAATGAGGCCAGAAATGTACTGTTTGGTCTTGGAACAAACACCTTAGGCAATTATCTATGTGGTTATTTGCAGTAAATAGGTAAGAGAGTGCTAAGGAAATTGGCAAAAGGAATCTTTAGCTATTGCTTTTATTGGGAGTGGGGTTGCTAGGAATCAAACCCAGGGCCCTGAAGTATGCTAGGCAAATTATCTACTAGTGAGCTGTACACATACCATTGCTAAGCTTTACATTACAGCAGTAGAGAGGAGAACAGACACCTAAGTAGAGATTTTGCATGACTTGGGATGTACTAAAAATGAGCGAGCAAGGGGCTCAAAGATGGCATCCAAGCTCCTCGCCCTGGCCACTCGGTGAGTCAGTTGAGGGAGAAGTTGTGTTCACATTGAGTGTAATGCATCGGAGATGTGTACGTGGAGGTATACTAATGAGAGTTACTGTATGAGTCCAGAGCTTGGGACCAAACCCTGAGCCATAGAAAGAGGTCTCTGTGAGAAACTGTGGCTTTTTGTCTCCCGAGCAGTGATTACTGGGCTCAAGATAAGTAAGTGGTTCTACGTCACCATTCATGACCAAAAACTTAGATGCAATCATTTGTGTTTCTTGCAGCAGGAATCCCAGCTCCTGTGTATTTTGGTGTTTTGATTGATACTTCATGCCTCAAATGGGGATTTAAAAAATGTGGAAGCAGAGGCTCCTGCAGACTGTATGACTCACATGCTTTCAGGTACCATGTCAAACACATTCCCAGATCTCTGTGCTGCTATATCACATTTTATATAACATCACTGAAACCTAGAATTTCTTATGGACTTTTCATGTTTTTAAGATAAATCAACCAAAAACTGGGAGCTGTTTCATATACCATTCTATTATTTGATATTTGACTTAAGATATATAGTTCCAAGTGTTAACACTGAATTTCATTTTAAATGTCATCATTATTTTATTCTTATTTTTAAGTCATTATACAAAGTAATAGATTTAATGAATTTTACACACATGTATCATTATACTTTGTTCTAATTTATGCCCCCTCAAATAATCATTTTTTAATATGATGAAAATTAGTCAGATAAAATGCCTCACACCTGGAATCCCAGAATTTTAGGGGGCTAACAGAAGAGAACTAATGCTCCCTTGAGGTCAGCCTGAGCTATATAATATGTTCTTGGCTAACCTGAATCTACAGAGTGAATAACCCTGCGTTATAACACACACACACACACACACACACACACACACACACACACACACACACACACATGCATATACTCATGAGCACGTACATATGACAAATGATGAAAATTTCTAGAATATAATAACATTTTTGAAAGATTTTGCACACAAATGTCAAGACATTCCCTGAAACTCAGATGCATTTAAATTTAGGTCACATTCTGGGTTTAATTCTATTCTTTTTTAAACTGAGCCAAACTGTACCATTTACGTCAGCACTAATCCCCTGGGCAAGATCTGGATTTGGCTCTCAATCCGTCCGGCTCTTATTGCCAAGCTGATGTTCAATTATTCCAGTACTTGAAATGCATAAAAGTAAAAAGCTTCCTCTGTGTGGGTGAGCGTGTCTAGGGTGGAGAGCATGGTTTTCTCACTACGGTATCATTCAGTCCTGTTCATCAAACCTTTATTCTCCTTATTGCTCAAAGCCATACTCCAGTGGCTCAAGACCAGGGACTTCCTTTTTTTTTCAAAGACTTACAAGCTGAACACTTTGTTTTAGAGAAGTAAAGCTGGATCTCCAGCATCTGAGTTGAATGTGAATTAGTCAGATCATCTCAAATAAGATAGGTTTAATAGGCTTTGATGTTTATGTGTGAAGGGTTTTTGGTCCATAAACCAGGCCAGTTTGGGGAGTATGATTTGGCGTCTGCTCTCATTTGCTGAGACTAAGTATTCACTGTAATGTGCCAGTTGTGTGAGGTGGAGACTGTGAGAGCATTTACCATGTGACCAGGACAAAGTGTAAAGCCTGTCCTTCTGTGTTCTTCTGGTACTAAAGACTTCTGAGGCAAGAGAGCAAACTGAGCATCAGGCTCATTTTCAGGCAGTTCTGTGCCACGAAGAATTCTGACCCCTCCTTCAAACTGCTTGCTGCAGCCTTTCCTTGGAATGTGTGAGAGGAATATTTGAGACAGGATCACCACATGACTTAGTCAAACCTAGACACTTTGGAAAGTGAAAGAGATCCTTTTAAAATTATACTTAGGACAGCAGTAGTCTAACTGGGACTGCCCTGAGCAAGCAGGAAGATGGCTGCCCAACTTCAGGAACTCCTTACAGAGGAAATGGAGTTTATTATATCATTTGCAGTAACTCGGAATGACAATACTACTAAGAAATACAGTAGCAAATGGCTGGCAGTAGGTCACCAGTATTCATAGCCACAGGCCTACTCTACATCTGTGTCCTCTAAGAGAGTCATTATCACACTATTAGAACCTTCAGTTTATGTTTTATTTCAAGTTGAGTAGTTGTAATAATTATAACCTAGATTCTCTCTTCTTTTAGACACATATACCTGGGACTGACCACACTCCTTGGTTCAGTGTCCATTTTCCTAAGCATGGCTGTGCTTTTTGTTTTAAAGAAAAAGTATGTTTCAAAACCCAGCAGCTTCATAACCACCAGAGACAAAACAGTGGTGTCTTCAAGCTTCAAGAAGGAAACATGTGCTGCAAGGGATCGTGTGCTGCAGCCCAAGTACTGGCCAGGCAAGGAGACACGACTTTAGAAAAGTCATGAAAAACAAGCAAACATGGAGGTCATTTTATCCAATACATGAAAATTCTGTAAACAAATAAAATCATAATCAAAAGGGCTTCAGCATGTAATTTCCTTCTCCTTTCAAAAGTGTGTCTGCTTTTATATTTTACTCTAAGCACCAGATGACAGAACTCTAATAAATATCACTAAGCATAGAAGATATAGATGAAAAATGATTTTAAAACCTTTTAACTTATTTATACATTCCTTTTAATTATTTTCTTATTTCTGCTTTGTTCTGCATTGTGTCCATTGATAAGTAAGATGTATTTCTGGGAAAAATTGTCTCTCATGTCTGATTATGACATGTCATCTCTAAATTGAATCATTTTGGGTAGTTCCTAAGAAGGGCATTCAGTTTTAGATCCTCTTGGAATGCAGCAATTGATACAGAAAAGATTCATCATGACAGAGTCTTGGAAGACTATTTTAATTTATTAGTTCCCCCACTAATCATATATATATATACATATATATATATGTTCATTGTGACATTAGAAGCATCCATGGCTGCATTGTCATTAATGTCATTGTGCTTTATTTTCTATACAATGAATTAAAATATTTTTAAAACAAATGCTATCCATATTTTTATGTATGTAGGCAACTCTCTACTTAGATGTAAGGTGTATTCACAAAATATACTTAAAAGTTAAGTTTGGGGTGTGTGTGTACCTGGGAGGACTGGGAATTAAGCATGACCAGAGTGCACTATGGGAAATTCCCAAATAATCAATAAAAATATCATGGTGGAAAATGTAGAATTACAGATACTACAAATTGCATATATATCTGTGGTCGTATGCATTACTGTGTAGTGTATCTGTGTTATATAATGTTTATGTTTACCATATATGCACTATATAGTTTATCTGTATTTTATATATAAAGCAGTCAGAGATTTTGACCCTCCAAGGGCTCATTTTCATCCTTTTGAGATTGTAGGCTCTAGATTCCATTTGTTTGTCCTAGTTTTTTTTTTTTTTTTTTTTTTTTTTTTTGTCAACTTGATACAAGCTAATGTCGTTTGGGAAGAGGGACTCTCAACTAAGGAAATCCCTCCATAATACTAGCCTATAGGCAAGTCTGTGAAACATTTTCTTGATTAATGATTGATGTAAAAAAAGTCCATCCCACCTGAGCTGGTGGGCCTGAGCTCTGTAGGAAAACAGACTGAGCAAGCCACGAGGAGCAAACCAGTAAGCAGCACTCCTCCAAGGCTTCTACATCAGCTCCTGCCTCCAGGTTCCTACTTGGAGTTCCCACCCTAAATTCCCTCAGTGATGGAGTGTGACCTGAGAGTTATAAGGTAAAATAAACCCTTTCCTCCACAAAGAGTTAAGTTTCTGAAAATCGAAAATACCTGTGGTTGTTATCCTTATAAAGTGAATGGATAAGTAGTATTAAGGCTGGGTGTGTTGTCTTCGGTGTCTAGCTGGCACATACCTGATGACAGGTTAGGAAGATTCCACCAGGTAAGCCTCTGTCACTCTCCATTGGAAACCTTCAGTTCAGACACTTCCTCTCCCCTGGCGTTTTGGCGCTCCTCTGCCTGCAGTTAGTGAGTTTGGCAGTCGATACTCTAATCTTAAAACCATTACCTCTGTTTTTCTTCCTCCACCATCATCTAAGGAACACAAAGATAAACCAGAGGACCTCGTAAAGAGGCAGCATACCCAGAAGCTGACAGTCTGAGCCAGTCAGCCTTCTGTAAGTCCTGGACAGTCCAAAGACCAGGTAGTCTGTAGATGTAACCATCTTGTTAAATAAGAAACACAGAGCCAATGCAGAGAGGAAAGCCCAAGAGGTCAGAGCAAAGAGCTAAAAACCTTACCCTTCACTGCTGCTGCTGTCCTCCTCAGCAAGAGACCTACTTCCTGTCTGTTTGTCCTTTTTACTGACTTTCTATTCTGCCTTCTCACTGGTTGTAAACCCAACCACATGACCTCCTCGTTACTGCCTATCTGTATAGACCTCCAGGTCTTCTATGGTTGGTATTGAGATCAAAGGCGTGTGTCTCCATGCTGGCTGTATCCTTGAACACACAGAGATCCGCCTAGCTCTGCCTCCCAAGAGCTGGGATTAAAGGCGTGCACCACCACTGCCCAGCTTCTGCTATGGCTTGCTATTAGCTCTGACCCCAGGCAACTTTATTTATTAACATGCAAATAAAATCACATTTCAGTACAAATAAAATAGCACCATATTAATAAAATATCACCATAGTAGTCAGGCTAAGAAAATAAGACTGGGGGTATTTCAGTGTGAGTGAGACAGTGGAGTGCCTTGGATGCAAAAGGGGAAGACACATACATACCAAGGGGATTTTCAAAGCTGCATGAGGAATCCATCATCATGGCATATCAGTAACACTAAAACCTGATTCATCTTCACAACATTAATGATACCAAAATCTCCATTTAGTGAAGGGTATGGCAAAGCTGAAAGAGGTTCCATAAATTGCTCAGCAATGGAGAAGCGTAGTCAAAATGAAATTCAGTTCTACCTAAAATCAGCTTTCTACCATATTAGCCTGACCCAATAATGTGTTCTAGGACAGGTGCTCCTATCATTTGTAATGTCTCAGAATTATTTTATTCCATTTGTTTCCATTTCCTCAGCCATCATCTTCGTCTGTATATTTCAACATCATACAGATAACCAGCAGCTGTTATAAGCCACAGAATGAATTTAGTTAGCATGATGAGTTTTTTTCCCCCAAGTGGTGTGTCTTGTGTTTGGAATAGTCAACTTTCAATAGGTAGATCCAAACATGCTACTTAAACTTAAGTCCGGTGATCAAGGACAGGGCTTTGGAGACTTGTACTTTAAATACAATTCTTTATAAAAAAAATTTTACTTTTGTTTATTTATTTGTTGGGTCAAAGGCATGCTATGGGATACATGTGGAGGTGAGAAGACAGTTTGGGGGAGGTGGCTCTCTCTTTACAACATGTGGGTCCCAGAATGAAATTTGGGTCATCAAGCTTGGCAGCAAGCACCTTTAGACACTGAGCCATCCCACTGACCCTTGACATGCAACTTAAAGTAACTTTTAGAACAAACAGAAAACATAAATAGGACACTCCCAAGAAGCGTGTGTGTTTGAAATTCTGCACAGGGCAGAAGTCCAACAGGAAGGCACCAATTAAAACCATAGTTGCTTTACTCATACAGTGAAAGAATCTAATGGTCCAAGTATGGCTTTTGGCTGCCTTTCCTTATCTCTTTACATATCAGTTTCACAAATAAGAATGGGAAATGATGGAAAGATTGAGAATGAGTGGGCTGGAGAGACTGCTCAGTGGTTAAGAGCATTCACTGACTGCTGTTCCAGAAGACTCAGGTTCAATTCCCAGTACCCACATGGCAGCTTACAACTGTCTATTACTTCAAGATCTGATACCTCACACTCACATACATGCAGGCAAAATACCAATGCACATAAAGTAAAAATTAAAAAAAGATTGAGAATGAGGAAGAGAAATGTCCTTTAAAACACAGCCATGTTGGGTCGTGAGAGGTGGTTGAGGTGGTTCAGTGGTTACAACACTTGATGCTTTTCCCAGGAACCAGGTTTGGTTCCCAGTCCCCATATCTGGAGGTTCACAGCTGTAGGGTAATCTGATGTCCTCTTCTGACCTCAGCAGGTACCCATATCTATGTGTACATACACATGCATATCACACACACACACACACACACACACACACACACACACACACACACAAAACCTTTGTCATTTTATTGAAATTATAACAACAGAATGCTTTATATTTTTGTTGATTTTGAAAATGTAAATGGACCTTTGTTCTGGTAAAGAGGTCTATGTCCACTAGGCTACTGTCCTGCCAGCTCCTGAGCAGGAAACCTTTTCACTGTTGACTGTATCCATCTGACTCCTGACAAAGGGTAAATGGTGGAAGTCTGTATCCTTCTCCAACTTGTCTTAATATGTTGATTCAAATCTCTCACCCTAGCTCCCACATTCTCTTCATTTTTCAATTTTTTTGTAGCAACACCCTAACATATAACTTCGTTGCAGGTAAGTCTTTCAACAGAATCTTAATTAACTTACTCTTGAATGATTTGGAAAATAGAACCATGTTTTTGATAAAAAGAAGAAGTACAGATAACTAAGGAATTCTAAGAGCAAGAGAAATAGCCTATATAGGGAAGAGCCCAATTGATTACATAATAAAAAGAAGCAAGATTTTATGTGCAACCATCAATCCAACAGACTGCAGAATTTTATCTATGGAACTCGGCTCTATGGCATAGGAAGTATCATTAAGTGGAGGGATGAATTTATTAGAAAAAATTCTGATATTTTATATAAGTAAACTCACACCTAACAGAGGTAAGCAGACATTCTGTGCTATCCAAAATATAATTTTAAAAACCAAACCCCATTTCAGATGTCACAAAATCCCCCTGTCCCCAACCCAAAACTGCAATGTGTGATGATATATTGTTTGTAATCTAGGAAATAAAGCTTGCCTGAAGATCAGAGGACAGAGTTAGCCAGAGTTAGCCATAGAGGTCAGGCAGTGGTGGCATACACCTTTAATCCTAGCACTTGGGAGGCAGAGGCAGAGATATGGCTGGATTTCTGTGAGTTCAAGGCCACACTGGCTACATGAGATTAATCCAGTCTAAAAGAGAAACAGAGCCAGGCAACGGTGGCACACACCTTTAATTCCATCACTTGGGATCACACACCTTTAATCCCAGCTCTAGGAAGGTTGAGACAGGAAGTGGTATACCTGGGCAGAGAAAGGAATGTAAGGTGGAAGGAGACAGGAACTCGCTCTCTTTCAGGCTGAGGAGTTGGTGAGGTAAGAGGTGGTGGCTGTGGCTTGCTCTGTTTTCTGATCTTTTAGCTTTCACCCTGATATCTGGCTCCATGTTTTTATTATAAGACCATTTAGGATTCGTGCGACATCTTGATTGATATGTGGGGTTCCACAATTGGTTAATGTTCAGTGGGCCACATTATTCTTTTATCCCACAGTCACGGGCCTTCTAGGTGCCCGAGGCTCCAGTGAATGCCTGATTCTCTCTGATTGAACATGTTGAGCATCAAGACTGCTGTTTTAGAGACACAGTGACTTACATCAGATGAAATGATTTCTCCAAAGTAGAGGCAGGCAAACTAAAGCCAGCCTGCTTATGACATCAAGAGGCCTCAGAAGCAGGTAAAAGAAATGATTAAGGCCACAAGGAGAACTTCTGTGGCCATTAATAACATTTAAGATTTTCTGCTTGAAGTCATATATAAAAGAGACTAGGGAATGAGGTTAATGCTGACTTGATAATAATTGAGAATTACTGTCATGTTTACAATGTGGAGAACAACTGTGGGTGTAATCGTTACTTTAAGCACTCTGTGTGCTGAGTGCTTTAGATATTCTCACCTTGAAGGGTCAAAGTAATAGTTTCTGTTCTGCATTGTTGCTGTTATTTTTGCAAGGAGAACCTGAGGGGCTGGGGATGTAGCTCAGTTGGTAGAGTGCCTGCCTAGCATGCATGAAGCCCTGGGTTGGGTTACCAGCCCTGCATAAATTAGACATGGTG